CAGACGACTTAATTAGAAGTCGTGTGATCAGACGACTTATGTTAAAGTCGTCCAGGATAAGCAAGGTTTGACCAGAAAACTCAAAAAATATTCTGGACGACTTTGATTATCCTGGATGATTTTAACCTAAGTCGTCTGAGCGGTCGACTTTTAATTAAGTCGTCTGGAGAAGTTAAAAGTTTAAGTTTTATTTTTGAATTGCAAAACTAACCTTAGACGACTTATCCGTAAGTCGTCTAGATTTAATAAAATATTGAAATTTTAACTTTCCCAGGGACGACTTAATTTCAAGTCGTCCGGAAAAAGTCAAATATCTGACACAATTCGGTCAAATGTAAAAGTAGACTGTTTTACCTAGACGACTTAATTATAAGTCGTCTGGTGTTTTTTTTTTAACAAACAAAGCTGGACGACTTAGAAGTAAGTCGTCCGTTTGACTTGAAGACTTATCCGTAAGTCTTCTACGCGAAGAGATCTGGAAAAAAATTCAATTTCAAACCTTAAACTAGGTGAGATGACTTCCTTTGCACACAGAGTCTTCTCCAACCACCCAGAACATCGAACGAAAGTAACCCACCAACAATTGTATGCTTAAATAGCTCTATCAACCATAAAAAATTTGCTATCAAAAGCTTGGGTTTTTGGTATGAATATGGAGACAAAGTGAAGGAGATGTTGTTTTTAGTTCATAACAATTGAGAAAGAGAGTATGAGTATCGATTTTAAGTGCATTAAAAGCTTCAACCTTGGTTGTACAAGGTTGTTGGGTTATACAAGGTTGTTGGGAGTATTCATGGCAATGGCAATGTTGTAAATACTTGAAGATGATGAGGTTGAGAGAGTAAAAAGGCCATTTTCGAAAAAAAAGTAAAAAAAAAAATTAATGGCATTTTCGTAAATAAAATGAAGATGTGGGGTGGATAGGACAAAAACAAGATGAGTTAAAAGAAGAAGTTAGTTTTGTGTTTGACTATGAGTTTTGAGTCAATTTTGCAAAAAAAACCCTATTATGTAATATAAAAGTATAAGAAACGGAAATACACAATATATAAACAACTAAATAATAAATAAACATAGAAATTTAAAACCGAAAATACTACATTAAAAATTTATATTATAAATTTAAATATGTAAATATATAATATACAAATAATAATAATAATAATAATAATAATAATAATAATAATAATAATAATAATAATAATAATAATAATAATAATAATAATAATAAATACACAATCTAATAAAATAGAAAAATTACACTAAGCATTAAACATCTATCTTAAAATGTAACATATAGATATTAGGTGAATATATAATATACAAATAATAATAATAATAATAATAGTAATTAATAATAATAATAATAATAAAAATAATAATAATAATAATAATAATAAAAATAATAATAATAATAATAAGTATATACACAATTTTAAAAACTGAAAGAACCCATTTAACATGAAACATCTATCTTAAAATGTAAAATATTGATATTTAGTAAATATATATATATATACGAAAAATAACAATAATAAATAAATAGACAAATTAAAAATTGGAAAAGGTACATTAAGCATTAAAGATTTATCTTAAAGTCTTAAATATAGATATTAAGTAAAATAAAGTAAGCAAAATGGAAATACTCAGTATAAAGAAAAATAAGTGATAAGTAGATACACAATTTTGAAAATGAAAATAGTACTTTAAAAAGGTAAATATGCATTTAAATATGTAAATATCTCTATAATATTATTTGAGAAGTCAGTTTCCTACGTGTCGCGCTCACGTTAACTCTCACGATAGTTGATTACATAGATACCCTTAATGAACTAAAATATTAAATAAGAATGATATTAATAATGTATTTCCTTTTTTATGATAACTTTTTACTTTTTTAAACACACATAAATAAAAAAAAGGAAATATTTATGAAATATAAATCTGTATAAAAACGAAATTTAATATTTTTCGAAATTTTCCTAAAATAACATTTTTACTGTTTATTTAAGAGATATTAAAAAGGAAACTAAAAATTTTTTTTTACAAAAATAAATATTTTGATCAAATAATTTCAAAATCCTTATACTCATATTTATGTATGTAAATTCCTATTGAGCGTCACTTTATTTTTTAATATTTCTTAAAAAGCAACAGATATCCAATTATTAAAAATATTATAAAATACTTGCATTAATTAGAATAAAAAATAATTATATTTTCATTTGAATTAGAAAAATATATATAAGTCAATATACTCACAAAACGAGTAACTGAACAAATCTAACTTATATCAAAAATAAAAGATCTAACTACAACAAGAACATATAATTTTAGAATAATTATTTATTTATTTTTATACATATAGATTACAGGATGACTCACAAATATCAATATAGAAAAACAAATTATTGACCAACTGTTATAATTCAGTTTTTTTGTAAAATTTATATATATGAATGAGACTTCAGAATATTGTCGTGATATTCATTTATGTAATTTTGAGTCAAAATTTCAGTTTAATTTTAATTTCATTATAAGAATAATATATATTAAATTATTACACAATCTTACTAAAAAATATTTACATATATAAGATAATAACCAATCTAAATGCAATAATAATCAAAGTTTTAGTATATTTAGAAGAAAAATATTATAGTCGAATTCAGAAAAAATAAATGAAATCTAAAATACACAAGTGTAACCAAATAGACTATTGACCAAAAAAATAACCAAACCGATTAAATATAAAATCTCCTAAATCGTATGTCTAATTAAAATAATATAATACTACTAATATAAGTTATGCATATAAATTTATAATTAAAAGTAAATATCTATGTAAATTAATAAATTAGAATATATTAAAATATATATTTACTTGATAAATATTCAAACCCGTGCATGAGCACGGGAAAATCACCTAGTATATATTAAGTACTATATAATATACCAAAATAATGTTAATAAGTAAATAAACAATTTAAAAGTGAAAATGTATACTTAGTGTTAAACATCTATCTTAAAATGTAAAATATAGATATTAAGTAAAATAAAGTATAAGAATTCAAAAATACATAGTATAAGAAAAAATAAATAATAATTAAATACACAATTTAAAAATGTAAATAAAACATTTGAAATATACATTTAAATATTTAAATATATAATATACAAAAATAATTAATAATTAAATAGATGATTTAAAAATGGAAATTTACATTAAAAAGTCAACATATATCTTAAAATGTAAAAAAATAGATATTATGTAATATAAAGTAAAAGAAACGAAAATACACAATATAAAGAAAAATAAATAATAATTAAATAGAAAGTTTGAAACATGGAATATAATATTAAACAATTATATTGTAACATTCAAAATAAATAAATAAGTAATATACAATATAAAAATGAAATACTATATTAAACAAAACAAAAAGAAAAGAAAACATATAAATTTACTTCAAACAATTACCTATAAAACTCATTATTTCATCGACATCAATCTCACACCCATCAAAGAAAACTCCATAGAACTTCACGGAAAAAAAACAATGGCTCCACCATCAACTTTTGCTATCCCAACAACTTTTGATGACCTCGAAAGAGATTTTTGTAACAATAAACTTCTGGGTAAGTTGATTCATTGATGGGAAGCCCGCAACTTCCAAAACAGAAACCTACTCACATGAGTTGATATTCTCCTCACAGACTTAAAGGTATTCTCCCCAAATTAAATTATTCTAATCCATAATTTTCTTGGGTTTCAAATTACCTTTTTGGCACAATTGATTTTAAATATTAAAAATTATATAATCTCAGCATTATATAAAAATATATTAAATGTTCTGTATAATGTTTTTAATTAAATAACTTTAATTGACTAATAGTAATGTTATGCTTAAAATATAGTTTTAAAAATCTTTTAGGTATAGTTTAAAGAACATAATCGGTGATGAATTTAATTTCTTAAATTAGGTTATTATTTAAAACTTCGATTTTTTAAAAGATAGTGAGTTATAAATATCAATGATGGAGTTGGTGAATATAAGCATGAAGACAAAAATATAAATATTTAATTTTCAAGTAATAAATTCATCTTTTTATTCAGTTATCAATATATAATATCTTACATTGTTTTCAAAATTATACATAAATTATATAAAAATTAATCTTCCAAACTTAAACTATTATATTATATGTGTAATGTTGTTAAATAAAAGTATTTTAAGCAACTTTAAAAAAAAAATAAAAACAATAAATGGTTTTTTACATATAATGATTAAGATGTAAATTATACTATCATTTAACATGTATTAGATACGTTTTGATATATCATTATTTTCTATTTAAAAAAATCAATAAATGGTTAAGCGTCAAATATTATTTAGGTTAAGTATACAAACAACACAAATTCAAATATCACAAAAAAATACTCACATAAACATTATACTACATTAATTTTAGTCTTAATAACATACAATTCAAAATACAATGTTCAAAAAAATAGTTATACAAACATTTTTTTCTGAACACTCAAAAGACAATGTTCAAAAGAATAGTTATATACTTAATATTTTTGAAAATCAAAGATGTTCTGCGTAAGCGCGGATTCATTCCTAGTTCTACAGAATAAAATTAAAATTAAAACCTACAACTCGATCAAGCTATCGTCTCAACCAATATGCTCATAACTCATAAGTTAAGCTCTCACTGTCTCACAGCTGGATGAGTCTAGAGAAAACTTATAGAAACATAAACCCAATCATGGATTATATTGTGTAAGCTGATAAGAAGTTAAAACAAAAATGGCCCTAAAGATTAGCTCAGCAGCTGGATATCTGTCTTTGATCGAAGTCCAAACAAAATCTTTATTTATGGTCTCCTTCTTACTCTTTTTGTCTTTACTATCTCCCCCACTGGACACGACTTCATCCTTACCCAGCTATCAACTTCATCAGCCTTCGACCAGAGACTCCAAAGAATAATCTAATTCTGATAAAAACTTTCAACTTTTTGTTTCTTTCAATTCCAGTACAATAAAAGGAAACATCTTTTATCCTAGAAAAATGAAGATACATATATATTGGGACACGAGTCCATAGTAAGAGAATACAACGAAGGACCTGTACTGTGTCTGTCTGTGTGTATACTTAGAATTGATACACAGCTCAAAACTAAAGAATGTGTTCCGTTCAATTAGACAAATTTTTGTCTGTACAGAGAAGAGAAGAGACGACCACAAAAACAAGACAAAGCTACCACACATCATGATCAGTCCACGAGACTTCTTCCTCTAGCCACATATCAAATCTATATTTGGGAGTCTAGAGACTGGCAACTTGTTCCTAGTATTCAGGGCTGTACAGGCTTATCAGGTGTTCTTCGTTCATGCTCTTTCTTGACTCGTACCATCTTACTGATTCTGAAGACCCAAATATCAAATCTACATTGCCTTCAATGCCACCAGAAGAAACAGTTATGTCAATCGATAATTATTCAAAAATCAAGAGTTCCTTTTTTTTTTTTTTTTTATTCTTACCTGAAGAAGCTTGTTGTTCCTCTTCCTTGGTACCATGAAGTATCATTGTGCCTGTGAGCACAGTGATGAATCCACATATCTCAGAGGCTACGCTAGCTGCATCTTGCCCAGACCAATCCTGTCAGAAGCATATTTAGAAGCAAACAAAATTTCTGAAACAGAATTGTGCAGATGGAGACAGTGTGTAGTTAAAGGCTACCTTGAACATGATGGCACTAGCAACAATTGTGAGGGTTGTGAACATTACATAGTAGACAGGAGAAACAATTGCTGCATTGAATGTGTCTAAAGCCTGCCAATCATAGGCCAAAATTTCCAACAAGTCAGCACGGGTATGGTATTAACTAGGTATATACATGTTCTACTCTATCTAACTCGCAAAGTAACCTAAATTGATAGATCAAAAGAATTGTAGGTAACCTTGTTGAGATAAATCAATTGAGTAACGACACAGGAGAGGGCAACGATGAGAAAAAGCCAAGTCTGGGGATACCCGATCTGGCTGACTCCCTCCATAGTTAACTTAATGGCAATTCCAATAGCCTTGATGCTCATAACCTGTTGGCAAAACTTGAGACACACAAGAAAAAGAAAAGAAGAAGGAAATAGAGGAGGAGGTCAGAAAGAACTTACAGTGAGAGCACCCATTAAGGAACAGATACCGATGTAAACGAGGATGTTGGATTGGCCGCAGAGAGGTTCAAAGTGAAGAATTAGAGCGAGGACAATGGAGATGGTTATGGCTACGTAAACTAGAAAAGCTGGCTGAGTAGCGAGAGTCCAAATCTCTTGGACGGAGTTAGGAGTCTGCTCCTTAGGGGCGTGAATGACAATAACAACGGAGCCGACGATGCAGGAAACACATCCAAGAACCCCCATTTTCTTGAGTTTTTCTTTTAACAGGAAATGTGCCAAAATAGCACTGGGGAATATGATTGAAAAAGATAGATAGAGTCAAGTCAGAGAAAAAAAAAACAAACAGAGAGAGAGACAGAGACCTGATGATAATACTTAGTGCACCAAGAGGAGTGACGAGAACAGCGGGAGCATAAATGTAGGCAACAAAGTTTGCAGCTTCTCCAACAATCACTAATAATAGAGAATGCGTTTGTTAAGAACAAGAAGAAGAAGAAGTAGAATAGAGAAGAGAAAAAAGAAACTAAACTGGTGACCATGCCAGCCCACCAAAGAGGCTCTAACAAGTAAGTATAACCTCCATACCCTGCCAATTAATATCATCTTTATAATTGAGGGTTTATTAGGGTTATGAAAGAAATAAAAAAAAAAAATACCAGCGCGGGTGCCATTGGAAGCAGCACGCTTGAGACCTTTCTTCTTCAAGATGAAGCTGGAGCCAATGAAAACACTAGAGGCCACTGCTAGTATCAACCCCTTCCCATTGTCCGTCTCCATCGCGAATTCTCCCCCTCAAAAACACCAGCACCTCTGATAATATATCCCTATTTCCGATGAGAATAAACCAAAGAAATAGAATCGATCGCTCGCACAGGACAGGAGTTGCTGATGATGGAGCGGATGATTTTTTCGAAAAACAAAAATGAGAGAGATCTGAGGGAGGGAGGGAGGGGTTCCAACTCTTTCTCCCTCTTTCGCCAGAAGACAGACCCGACAGCTCACGAAACTTCTTCGCTACTTTCACTTAAACCGGATCCTATACCGGTACAATTTATTTGTTACTAGACTTGCTTTCACGTTCCTTCCTTCCCCCTCCTTATACCAAATACTGGGCCTTCTTTCTACACACACTACTAGTTTCATTTGGGGCTTTTCCTTTCACATACCCATTCACAATTGCACGATTAAGTTTTTGTGTAATCAATAATTGCTGGATCAAACTTGTTGTCCACAATAATTGGATAGCTCTTAGCTGAACATAAATTATTATAGCAATATATTATATATTTTACTGATATTGTGCAGTCAAATATTATTCAAAAAAAAAACTCTTAATTTTGTTATATTCAGTGTCCACTTTTAATACATTTTAATCAAAACTGGAGGACTTGAAACAAATTTTTTTTTTAAATGTAGCAAGAAAATTAAAACAATTTGAATGCATTTTTTAATTTCATTTTTATGGTTTTAAAAACCAATATTTGCTTTCGCTATGTCTAGAATTGGCTCTATTTATAATAGATAAAAGTTTTATAATATTAAATTTTTTTGTCTCATACGCTAACCATTTCTTACCTAAAACGTGTTTTTGGTAATCAGTTTGTTACTTAAATAAAGTAATCAGTTTGTTATCAATCAATTACATTAATTAATTGCTGCAACTAGAAAAAAAAAGAAGGAGTTGGGTCCACTCAATCTATACCTTTTCAGTCTTTGGTGTTTACATGTGTTTTCATTTTTATTACAAAATAATAATAATAATAATAATAATAATAATAATAATAATAATAATAATAATAATAATAATAATAAAGTTTTAGAGGTATAACCGTTAAACAATCTATATTTCATCAGATAATTATATGATGTACTTTTTGTTAGAATATGCATTGTATAAGTAAGTCGTAATAAAAATCAAAATCTAAGTTAAATACTGTCTGAGTCATGTGTGTGTGTGTCTCTCTTTCTCTCTTATTTACAAAACAAAAAATATCAAATGTTTTTTCTTTCCAGATTATATTTTTCCTTTTCTCTTTATTTCATATACTAAAATAATTCAGTTTTAGTTCATCACTAAAAATCCCCAAATTCACCTCCTTTTTGCAGGTCTCATTAGGCAAGAAAATCTGCTTCTGCTACTGTCAGTTCATGCACTTCAAAATTCTATACAAATTCGGTTTTGCCGTGAGCAATTCATAATTCCAGTTATGAATTGAAATTTGAATTAACAGCAGTGGTAAAAAGTTGGTAATGAAACAAACACATGTTAAGAGAAGCATTGGGTTATAAAACTGATTGAAGATTAAATTTTAACTTTTAAGGGCTGGCCGTAAGAGAAAGCCCAAAAGTATTTTGCATAAAATAGCTTATGTTCAACCCAGTGTTTTGAAACCCGACTCATACCCGCGGTTGAACCGGTAAACCCGGTGACCTATAAGAAATTTGGTTCGGGTTTTGTTAAAAACCCGAAATTTAAAAACCCGCAAAAACCTACTAAAACCCAAAACTCAATGCCGGTTGAACCACTGGTTGAACCAATAAATAAATTTTTACTTTTTTAGTTTTAAATTATGTTTTTATTATGTTTTATATTCTAAATTTCTAATTTAAAAATTAGGTTCTCTCGTTTTAGTTATTGGCATTGCCGTCTTCTTCTTTAAGTTTAGATTAAACTTTTTGACTTTTTATCATACATAATACCCATTACACTATTTTATCTATGTTTTTAAGATTTTGATGAAGATTTCACTATACCGCCTGAAGAAAATAAACTGAAAAGTGGTAGCGAGAACCAAAATTAGTTGATGTAATTTGGTGTTAGTTTATTTTTGTTATTGATAATTTATTACAATGATGTTTTACTTTTGGTTTATTTTGGATTTGAAGTTTAATTTATTATGTTCATTAGACATTTAAATATGAGTTTTATATTTTTATTTTTTTAGATGTCATTACTCTTAACTTGTTATACAAAAATTTTAAATAGTCTAAACTAGTTTTTGATATTTTGTAAATTTATACATTTTATGTTTTAAAAACATTTAAAAAATATTTAACTTTAATTTCTATATTTTTATTTTCATAGCTAATATATTATTATATAATAAACTTTCATTTATTAATCCGCGGGTCATCCGCGGTCGACCCAGTGATCCACTGATCCGGTAAGTCGTCCGGTTCAGTGTACGGGTCGGGTTTAAAAACATTGGTTCAACCAATAACGGCGGGCGGCGGGTCGGAACTGGGACGCATATCGCGAAATACAGTCGGTCGATGTAGGGAATGGGGGACGGGTACGTGGGTACGTCTCAAGACGGGGTGAAGATACGGAGGCTGCAGAAGTAAAGAGAGGCTGAACACCGTAAGATCCATGAGTTGAAGAGCAAGACTACCTCCGGCAATCAGGTCTTCTCCAATTCGGCTCCAGCTCTTGCGAGGTTCCCTTTCTTCTTCTTATTCTTCTGTAATTAGAAAATTTTCCGATTTTCTAGGTTGATTCATTTGTTTTAGGGTGAAACTTGTGAATTAAGAGCTTCCGCAGTATTTAGGGTTTTGTATGATTACAACTCTCAAATTCTTAGAAAATTAGGTCAAACCAACTTCCACTGATTGGGCACTGAATTCCAAATATGTGTTATTTTAATTTGTGTGTTCTCGATTCCTTCTTTAGATACTTGACACTGCTTTCAAGAAGGAAACAGTCGGTTTAGTCACCAGAGAGGAATATGTGGAGAAGGTAATGATCAATCCCTTCTTCTACCACTCTACTTCTTCACTTGGGAATGATTATGGTGTTCAAATTGTCTCCGTAGAGGGTTAATATTCGTAATAAGTTTGAGGAAGAAGAGAAAGAGAAATTGCTCAAGCTACTCCAAGAGTTAGTTAGCTTTCTTTCTTTCTACCCCTCCCTCCCTTCTTTCTTCTTTTTTTAATGAGAACAAGAGTTTCTTCGAATTAGTTTCTAAACCCACCCACCCACCCAGGGAAGAGGAGCTTCAACAACAAAAGCGTAGCAAAAAGAGAAAGATTAAGGGAAGCTCCCGCTTATCTTCTGCTGAAGATCTTGAGGATGGCAGTGATGACGCAGAAAACAGTAAGTCAATTCTCCTGTTGTTAGGATTTGGTTTCATTTTTGTCCTATCTTTCTCAATTAATCTCATCATGGTTTGGAGTCTTACTTGGTTGTTGGAGCTTTTGCACAGGAATTTCAGTTCTCATATTATCTTGTCTTCTTAAGTTTACATATTTGGTAACTTCAATCATCTGTGCAGAGAATTCTGGGAACTTACGCTATGGAAAACTTGGCAAGGACCCCTCTGTGGAAACTAATTTCCTGCCTGACAGGTGATCTCCTCTTGCTCTCCCTCTATTTTCATTCTATGCTTTTTCACCAAGTCTTAACTCTAGCTGTGGTAGTGTTTTGAGGTTGTTGTTTCAGTGAGCGAGAGGCGGAGGAACAAGCTGAACGTCAAAGGCTAAAGAAGCAGTGGATTCGTGAACAAGAGCAGATTAAAAGTTGTCCAATTTCCACTTGCTTCTAGTTTCAGTTGTAATACTTCTTTTATTTCATGAATTGTCTAACAAGTTTTTTTTTCTTCAAATTACTTACAGTTACTGGGATGGAACCGGCCATAGACGAGTTATCCAGGCAAGCACTATGTCACGGACTGATTTCTTCAGCAATCAGGACGTGCAGCCTTAGTTCCTTTCTACCCCGCGTAGTAACTAAGTCAACCTTTCGGATAAGTCGCGGCACTTAGAGAGAGAGTGATGGACGAATTTAGAGAGAGGTCAGAGCTATGGAAGTACTTTTCATTAAGTTTCTGAATGAGTTTTACAATGGGACTTCACCCCTTTATATACACATCCACCTCCTCAACGGACGGTGCAGATCGAATCGATCTAACGGCCCAGATCTTTTCCCTCCTATGAAGTAACTTCAACATGAAGTACGTCACCCTTAAGTATCTTATCCCTTACATCATTTTATATTATCTTCTACTTAGATATTTTACAAAAGCTTAAGACTTAAGAAAATACTAAGTAAGGTCGGTTTTAACCCTGCTCGGTCCGACCCGTTTGTACATCAAAAGTTGGGGCGTGACATCCTCCCCCACCTAAGTCGGTGACGCCCTCGTCGCCGAGTATGCTTTTAGTGCCTCCCGGAATTGCCACAAGTCTTCTTCCGGTTCCCATGTTGCTTCTGCCTCGGGTCGTCCTTTCCACTTGATGAGGAAATGAGTTTGACGTGGAACACCTCGTTTCCTTACCTCCTTGGTCGCCAAAATCTCCTCAATCTCCTGGTCATAGGACTTAGTCACCACGGGTGGTGCTCGCTTTGAGACTCCTCGGCTTTGATCACTTTCACCAGCGTGGTATGGCTTCAGCATGCTCACGTGGAAAACCGGATGGATCTTTAGTGTATCCGGCAGGTCCAGTCGGTAGGAAACTTTTCCCACCTTCCCAACTACCTCAAACGGCCCTTCGTACCTCCGGATCAAACCTTTGTGTAGGCTCCGGAATGCCTTGAACTGTTGTGGAAGTAACTTCACCAGCACAAGGTCGCCCATTGAGTACTCCGAAGGCCGTCGTTTCTCATCTGCCCACTTCTTCATCCGCTTACGGGACTTTTCTAAACATGCTCGGGCAAGATCAGCATGTTCTTCCCACTGTTTAGCCATTATAAACGCCCCTGGACTCTTCCCTTCAGTCTTTGGTGTAGCCAAAGTATGCGGGGTTAATGGACTCCGTCCCGTTGCCTCGTTGCGTTGAAGATTGTATGAGAACTGGGCTATGTCCAGCAACCTGGCCTAGTCCATTTGGTTGGCGCTCACAAAGTGTCGGAGATATCCCTCCAACAAAGCATTCACCCTCTCGGTCTGCCCATCAGATTGCGGGTGAAAGCTTGTGGAGAAACTTAACTCTGTTCCCAGCATCTTGAACAGGTCCGTCCATAAACGCCCTGTTAATCGGGGATCCCGATCACTAACGATGTTCCGCGGAAGTCCCCATAACTTCACCACATTTTTGAAGAACGCCCTCGCTGCTTCTTCTGCGGTACAGTCCCGATCACATGCCACGAACGTTTCATACTTAGAAAATCGATCCACGATCAGCAGGATGGATCCGAACCCTTCGGACTTAGGTAACACGCTGATAAAGTCCAGCAAAACGGAGTCCCATGGCCGCTCCGGAATCGGAAGTGGCTGCAGTAGACCCGCGGACTGTTTGTTCTCCGTCTTGTCTTGTTGGCAAACCAGACAAGTCTTCACATAAAGCTCCACGGTATCCCTCATCCGTGGACAGTAATAACCCACTTCAACAAGTTCCATGGTTCGCTTCTGCCCCGGATGGCCCGCCCATCGGGTATCATGACACTCCCGAATGATATCACGTCGAAGACTCTCCCACTTCGGGACATAAAGCCGACGACCTTTGGTGTAGAGTAGCCCGTCATCTACCCAAAATCGATGCACCTTCCCTTCATTGTATAGCTTCACTAACTCCTTGGCAACTGGATCACGCTCCAGCCCCTCCCTGATTCGAACCATAATGGTCCCCTCGACTTGGCTCATCGTTGCTAGCTCCGCTTTCCGACTTAGTGCATCAGCCACTACATTCGCCTTTCCTGGCTTATATTCCAAAGTGTAATCAAACTCAGCCAGGAAGTCTTGCCATCTTGCCTGTTTCAGGGACAGCTTCTTCTGGGTCTGAAAGTAACTCGTCACCACGTTGTCCGTCTTGACCGAAAAGTGTGCCCCCAGAAGATAGTGTCTCCATACTCGTAAGCAATGAACTATGGCGGTCATTTCTTTCTCCTGCACCGTGTACCGCCTCTCTGTTTCATTCAGATTACGACTCTCATAGACAATCAGATGTCCATTCTGCATTAATACTCCCCCAATGGCAAATTCGGAGGCATCCGTGTGTAACTCGAAAGGTAGGCTAAAATCGGGTAAGGCAAGGACATGTTCTTGACTCACTGCCGTTTTCAGATCCTCGGAGGCTTCTTGACACCGATCAGACCATTCCCATGTCTTCCCCTTCTTGAGAAGGTCCGTCAGTGGCGCTGCCCTCCTCGAATATCCCTCGATGAACCAACGATAATAATTGACAAGACAAAGGAATGATCTCAGCTCCGTTACCTTGGTCGGGGCCTCCCACTCCACAATCGCTATAACCTTCGGTTCATCCATCTTCAGCTTCCCATGCCCGATGATATGGCCTAGGAACTGAACTTCCTCGGTGGCAAACGTGCACTTCTCCCTCTTCACGAACAGTTCGTTCTCTCGAAGAACCCTGAATACTGTCCGTAGGTGTTCTACATGCTCCTCCATCGAGTTGTTGTAGATCACAATATCATCCAAGTATGCCACCACGAACCGATCCAAGTAGGGTTGTAAGATCTGGTTCATAAGGGTGCAGAACGTGTCTGGGGCGTTCGTAAGCCCGAATGGCATCACCAACCACTTGAACGACCCATACCGCGTTATGCACGCAGTCTTCGGCTCATCTGCTTCCGCTATCCAGACTTGATAATATCCCTTTTGTAAGTCCATCTTCGTATAGATCTTCGCCCCACCAAGTCTATCAAAGAGATCCGCGATCAATGGAATTGGATAACGGTTCTTGATGGTTACCTTATTAAGTGCCCGGTAGTCCACGCACATTCTCAATGATCCATCGTGCTTCTTCTGGAACAGTACCGGTGCGCCATAAGGTGCCTTCGACTGTCTCAGCTTCCGCGTCGATAACAACTCATCGAGCTGTTTTCTCAATTCTTCCAGCTCGGTCGGAGCCATTCTGTAAGGCGCCATGGATGGTGGCTTAGCTCAAGGCTCCAACTCGATCTGATGGTCCACCGCCCTCCTCGGTGGTAACTTCTCGGGCAACTTCGATGGCATCACGTCCTTGTTCTCCTCAAGGACAGTCTCAATGACTTGAGGGATGGACTCCACATTTTTAGGTTCATCCTCCATCTTCATCATGGCCAAAAACGTGGGTTCACCCTTCTTCACCCCCTTGGTGATCTGCATAGCTGATAGTTGCCTCATCCCATCAGTCTTCTCTTCCACAGTCGAAATCATGCACGGTGATCCCTTCTCAAGTATACACACAGAACTCAATGCGGACATAGGTTTGGTTGAGACTCGTCTCATGAAATCCATACCCAAGACCACCTTAAAGTAGTCCATGGGAATAACCGAGAAGTCCACCAAACCACACCAACTTCCCAGTCGCATCTCGATCCCTCGAGCTATCCCATTGACGGGTTGAGCCTTAGCGTTCACCGCCTTCATCCAACCATCCTTCTTGGACCATTTAACACCGAGTTTCACAGCCTCTTCAATGGCCATGAAGTTGTGAGTGGCTCCCGTGTCCACCATCACTCGGGTTGGTTTACCGTTGATCAGCGCCTCAACGTACATAAGCCCCTTGCTCGTCAGCTTCACCATCGGGTTAGCCTTCAGTGCATTGAGTAACTGTAACGATCCCATCTTGCTTGATCCCTCCTCCTGAGTCTCGGTCTCCTGACTCTCCATAATAGCGGATAAGCACCCCATCTTCGGGCAATCCTTCATCGCATGGGGCCCCCTTGCACACAAAACATCCTCCCTTAGGCACGAAGGATTTCTTCCTTGCCTCAAAATCCTCCCGTCGAGCACCCTTCTCAAAACTCCTTGAGTTGGATGGCCGAGTTGTATCCCTTCGTGCTCCCCCACCTTTGGCCGCGCCCTGCTCCTTCTTCCTAGAGGACTCGGACGGACCAGCAGTACGGAAGTCAGTCAAGGACTCGGCCACCGCAATAGCTTCATCCACGGTCTTAACTCCCCGACGCTGCAACTCTTGCTTGGCCCAAGCTTGCAGTCCATCGGTGAAGTAAAACACGAGATCTTCCGCCGTCATGCTGGGGATTTGAAGCATGAGAGTCGTGAACTCTTTCACGTAGTCCCGAATCGAGCCTCGCTGTCTAATTTCCCTCAACATCCTGCGGGCTTCATACACGACATTCTCTGGGTAGAATTGTCGCTTTAACTCCTTCTTGAAATCATCCCAAGTACCGATCCGGCACGTGCCTTGCTCGATCTCAGAATGTTTCCTTCGCCACCATAGCATGGCCGTGTCTGACAGGTAAGACGTCGCAGCCTTTACCTTCGAATTCTCAGCCACCAGGTTAAGATTGTCGAAGTACAGCTCCATTTGCCACAGGAAATTCTCCACCTCCTTGGCATCCCTCGCACCGTTGAACCGGTTGGGTTTCGGAAATTCAACCTTACCCACACTGGTTCCTCCAACGGCTCCAGCATTCGCGCTTGCCCTCTTGACAAGCGTGACTTCCTCCTCCATGGAAACAAAGCGTGCTTTCATCCCCACGATGTCATCACGGAAAGCCTGGATAGATCACGTCATCAACTCCTCAAGTCGAATGAACCGAGTATCCAGATCGGCAGCATTTTGCTTGACCTCCTCAAGCCCACCGAACACGACACCCTCCAGCTCAGTGACGGTATGCTCGACCCTCTCGAGCTTCTCACCAAGTTCACCCACAGCCACACCCAAGGCCTCACGAGAAACGCTCTTCTCTCGCTGGGTACCACCACGTGCGGCCGTAGCCTCCCTTCCACGCTCCTCGACACCGGACGTCGAGCTAGTTTCTTTTTCTTTGTTCTTATCTCCCTTAGCCATTCTCTCGGACAGAGTCTCCCCTTGTCTGGATTGTAACTTTGCTCTGATACCAACTGTCACGGACTGATTTCTTCAGCAATCAAGACGTGCGGCCTTAGTTCCTTTCTACCCCGCGTAGTAACTAAGTCAGCCTTTCTGATAAGTCGCAGCACTTAGAGAGAGAGTGATGGACGAATTTAGAGAGAGGTCAGAGCTATGGAAGTGCTTTTCATTAAGTTTCTGAATGAATTTTACAATGGGACTTCACCCCTTTTTATACACATCCACCTCCTCAACGGACGGTGCAGATCGAACCGATCTAACGACCAGATCTTTTCCCTCCTATGAAGTAACTTCAACATGAAGTACTTCACCCTTAAGTATCTTATCCCTTACATTATTTTATATTATCTTCTACTTAGATATTTTACAAAAGCTTAACACTTAAGAAAATACTAAGTAAGGTCGGTTTTAACCCTCCTCGATCCGACCCGTTTGTACATCAAAAGTTGGGGCGTGACAACTAGCTACACATTTGTCTTGATGTTTGACCTTAGCTCATATACTTACCCTTTGGCAGGTCTGAAAAGGTGACGCAATTGGGAATTTTCTAAGGGCCGTCCAGCAGCAGCTAGCCCCTGACTTCAGGGAGATTAGGACGACATCAGTTGAGAATTTGCTATATGTAAAGGAAGATCTTATAATCCGACATGTGAGAACCCTTTAACATTAATCAAGTTATTCTTCCTTGACTGTCATGAACTTAAAGATATAACATGGGAGGGGGTGTTGTCTATGCAAAATGCAGCAACACAGTTTCTACGAGCTGATCATAAACAAAGCTAGGGGGAAGAGTGGCCCGGTAATGCCTTGTTGACAATGTTTTCTGAGTTCATGTGAATTCTTATATAGAAAATCGTAGCGGAGACTGATCATGCGTAACGTGCTTCTGAACAACACAGCTGTTTCACTTTGATGTGCATGAAGACGTGAGAACAATTGCAGATGCAACGATCGAGAAAGACGAGGTATGTGATCGAATTGCATTTGAAAACAAACTAGTTTAATAAGTACTGGTTTGTAAAAATTTGTAAAAAAAAAATGTGTGCTTGGAAGTCGCATGCTGGGAAAGTGGTGGAGAGGCATTGGCACGAGAAGAACAAGCATATATTTCCTGCTTCCAGATGGGAGGTAAACTACTGCTACTACTACCATTTTCTCTACTTATAATGTATGTATGTATGTCTTGGAGAGTGTTAAAGCCAAAACTCATCATCTGATTTCGAGTAATATGTGGGCAGATATACGACCCGACAAAGAAGTGGGAACGGTACACAGTCCATGGGGATTGATTGACTTCGGACCAGAACATGGATCGTCACTTGGTTTACATTATTTATCAGATTTGGTGTAGTAGTGTAATAGTAGTGGAATGTTGATTGAATTTGTTTATTGCATTTAATTCTTCTTTATTGTCAACCAATCCCTCCATGATGCCCAGCTACCCACCATTACACACTCTCTTCTAATTTTTATTTTCTTTGTTATTTTCATATAATTTGTTTTTGGCTGGGAAGATCTTATTAATATAAAACAAATAAAGATTGTTGCAAGGAGCTAAATTGATTTGTGAATCCAGATGTATATGATAAAAAGCTTATAACGATAATGGAAATAAAATCAAAAGAGAAACCAGAACGTTGTGTATTTCGAGTTTCTATGGTTAGTGTTAGCCTTTTAGGTGTGGGTCTTCGGTTTCGGGACAGTTTTTTTCAGGTCCGATCGGTTCTTTATATAAAAACTATTCGGATCCTAACGGACCTAATTACATACTTAGAAATTAGAAATCTAAAAGTAAAAAAAAAAAAAAAAATTAAAATACCTAAATTCTTCAAAATTTAGTCAAAATTATCATATTTAATTTTGCAAAATAACCAAGAATAAATTATTATAATTAAATTATTACTCTAAATATGATAATTAAAATTTTATATTACTTAAAAAAGTTACAAAATAAAAATAAATATTGCATACGAAAAGATATTAAACTAAAATATATAAAATAGGGTACACAGAGTCATAGTATTGGATATTCATATTTGTTAGTTGGGTAAAAACTAATTCTTATCGGGTTGAAATTATTTGGGTCAAACTCTTTGGATTCGTGCCTATTTAGATTCTGGTATTTATAAATTTTTGATATTTTGGATGAGTTTCTTTACTCAAGTATTTTTAACTAATAATTAAAAAAAAAATCCTCTCAAATTCTTTATTTTTCACAACTTTATATATTTTATATACTTCTTCATAAAATGATAAAATATCAATTTATAATAACGTAAAAATCATCTTAAAACTAGAATTGTCTTAAATAATTGATCCAATAAACCACCTGAATTTTTTTTTGTTTTTTTGTTTTCTTGAAAGAGCGAGCATAGCATAAATAGGCTCGAGGAGGACGTATCTATTATCTTGTGCATCGTTGACCCAGATTAAAAAAAAAAAAAAAAAGAAGAGGGAGGCATCGATGATGAATGTTAGGGTTTTGTTTCTGGCTTTCCTTCTCCTCGCATCTCCTCTTCTTCTTCAAGGTCTCTCTCTCTATATCTATATCTAGATCCGTTGTTTCATGATTTGTAATTCATATAAATTGATTTTGTGGTTCTTGAATCTGGGATCTGATCCTGTTTCCGTAGTAGAATGTAACGTCTCTAGTTAGCGATCCGATTGAGATCGAATTGAATATACCGAGGAATAGATCAGTGCATGTCTTTGGTTTTTGTTCATTGATAACAGGAAAGTATATGCAGTTTGTGTTTATGTATTCTGAGCTCCTCTTTTTGAAATGCACAAGAGAAACTCGATAATCCATGATCTGTATGCTGATATTGTTGGTGACAATGAATGAGTATCTTTTATTTTGTGCTCCAGTTGCAAGATGTCAGGTAGATTCGGAGGATCATTCGAGTATTGTTGACGATGTGGTGGGAGAACACAGCGATTCTGGTGCTGAGGAAGATGATCAGGATTTGGATGTCAACTTGACCTCTGCTCCTGGAGTTGAGACTCTCTCTATTTTCCCCAAAAACAGTGGCAAAGGTACCCCCAAACCATTCTTTATCTATCCATTGTTCTCATGTCATTAAGATTAGTTTCTTCTTGATGGATTCCCTGCAGTGGTTCCAGCTGGAGAAAACACTGAGCTTCTTGTTGCTCTCAGAAACGATGGTATCCCTCTGTTGCCTGTAAAAATCTTTGTGTACGTTTCTTCATTTTCCTTCTTTTTTTCTGTGAAATAACAGGCAAATCTAGGGTTGGTGTGATGGGGATTAGGGCCAGCGTCCATCTTCCTTATGATCATAAGATGTTGGTTCAGAATCTCACCATGCTGGTAACTTTTTCCTTTTCTTCTCCCAGGATGTCACCTTCTTTTGTATATTCATATAGTAATTTGAGATTGGATTCCATGCATGCTTCTTTTATTTTAATTCCAAATGGGTGGGTTGGGTGAAATCAATCGAACCAAGGAAGGAATTTAAATTAAATAATTTGCTTCATTCGTGTTGGGTTTTTGGTCTTAGTCAGTAGAAAGTAGGTCAACCGCATTTATTTTGCAAAACCAATAGATATAAATATTTTGTTTGATTTTCATGCTCTGCGCTCCTGTCATTTTCAGAGATTCAACAATGCGTCCATCCCAACTTCTGTTCAAGCAACCTTCTCCTACAACGTTGCAGTCAGCCAGTACCTGCAGGTAACATGCACACAATTAACAACACATTCTAAAAACAACAAAGAACTTTGAAATGGTCTAATTTCGTCCTGCACAGCCTGGAGCATTTGATCTGGTGGGTTATATCATCTACGACGTGGAAGGCAAGCCGTACCAGAGTGTCTTCTACAATGGGACCATTGAAGTAGTTGAATCTGGAGGTCTTCTCAGCGGTGAGTCTGTCTTCCTCATAACACTTGGGCTTGCTCTCCTCATCCTCCTCGGTCTATGGGCATACAGCCAAGTACAGCGTCTCACCAAGGTAAAACCATCTTCCTATTCCCAACCAACCTCTTTTGAGCTGTGTTACAGTTCTATTTTGTAGAATTATTCATTTGAAAAGTTCATCTGACATTCTCCTCTTTTGTTTTTTACCAGAAAACCAAAAAGGTGTCAAAGGTGGAAGTAGGAACCAGGTCTACCGACGCATCACTGGACGAATGGCTCGAGGTTCGCATCTCTCTCTCTCTCTCTACGTTTGTTTCTTCTTCTTTTGATTGATTTGTGTGTTGTGTCTTCAGGGAACTCATTTGGCCAAGACATTGTCAGGGAAATCAAAGAGCAAGAAGAACTAAGAAAGAGCTTATTTGCTCCTCTTCTAGTTTTTAGAGACTCGGCTTTTAGCGTTTTGGAAGAGTTTACAAGTTTTAACGTTGAGTCTTGAGTAACTTTAGAGTTTTATAAACGCTACTTTCCCTTTTTTGGTCTTGCATCTGTACTTTTTTAGACAATCTTATTACTCTTTTCTTTTTATACTAATTCTCCTCATCAAACAACTTGACTTAGATCTCCCGTTTTCTCATTTCAACAACAAATTAATAGTGGATCAGCAGGTGTCCAAATTGGTTCGAATTTGAACTTAAACCAATGCAATTTTTTAAAACTAAACATTAACCAGAAGATTACAAAACTTATTAATAAGTTCAGTCATGATTTATCACTGAAGACACCAGCAATAACCTCCGTTGAGAGGCTTGTGTTTACTTCAACTGTGAAGAGACCGAGGCTTGTGTTTACTTCAACTGTGGAGAGACCTTGGTTTAGAATGGCACATGGCGAGGTGAGGCGACGAGTGTCTCGCCTCTCGCCTTGTGTCATGGCAACACAAAGCAAGCACTTTGTGTGTGAAGGTAAAAAAAACGTACTAAGATTCATAAAGCGTCGCTTTAGGAGCCTTAGGTTTAGTAAAAAAAACGTACTAAGCGTTCGCTTTGTGTAAGTCGCCACGCGTTAAGGTGCTGAGGCGATGAGGACATCGCCAGACCTCGCCTAGCGCCGATAACGAGCGCTTTTTTAGACCAAGCTCTAAATTTTAGAGGTAGTAGAGAGACTAGATTTAAGGTTTACTCTAAATAAATAGTGTGCTAACTTTATAAACAAAGATCTTTAGTCAAAGACCCTTTTTCTCACTGTTGCAGAGCCACTCTTCAAAACCATAACTCATGAAGCAATTTTGTTTTCAATTATTATTAGTTCAAGACTATGTAAGAAGACAACAAAAACAACAAGAAGAAGCTCGCAAACATCCCTTTTATTTCTGATCTCATCTTCTTAAATGGAGATGTGTGATTTCCGTGACTGATCAAGCAGCAACTTTCTTGGACGTGACAGAGTTCACAATGGTCGCAAACTCAGGCCCCTAGAGTCACATCACATCAAAGGTGAGTTACGTTATATTCATCAACCAGCTGAAATATTTCACATCTAAACTTTTACTAACCTTCAAGGAGGCACCACCGACGAGAAAACCATCAATGTCTTCTTCTTTGGCAAGCTCTGCACAGTTGCCTCCGTTGACAGAACCTGATAATTGTGTAGGAAAAATAATAATCAACACAAAATATTTTGATTTTTTTTTGCGGTGGAAAAAAACTTGAACTAACGTTACCTCCGTATATGATTCTGGTTTTGGAAGAGACTTCCTCAGAGACATTCTTCTTGAGCCAATCGCGGACAGCTACATGGACTTCCTGTGCTTGCTGAGGAGATGCAACTTTACCAGTTCCAATTGCCCATACAGGCTCGTATGCAACCACTACCTTGTCCCAGCTAGGCACAGCATCTTATAATAACACACACAAATAAAAAAAAAAAGAAACATGAATATGTCTTGAAACAGTATGAAGTAGTAACAAAAGGAGGGTGTGAGTAATACCAGCAAAGGCCTTCAATTGCTGGAAGCAAACATCAAAAGTCTTGCCTGCTTCCCTCTCTTCTAGCTTCTCCCCGATACAAGCTATTACTCCAAGGCCCTCACTCAATGCATACGCAGCTTTCTTCCCAATAAACTATTCTTGTATTGAAAGAAGAGATCAAACCTTGCCTTGACAAAACCATCTTATTTTAAAAACTCACACTAGTACTCTAATATTTTCATTCAACTGACCTCATCCTTTTCTCCGATGACATGTCTCCTTTCGGAATGCCCAAGAATGACCCATTTGCATCCTATATCTTTGAGCTGTTCCACGCTGTATATGCGAGAAACAAGTGACGACGTTTGTTACAGAGAATTTTCATATAAGTAAATGAATAAGAAAAGAAGACTCTGTAAACCTGATTTCACCAGTGAAGGCTCCACCTTTGCCAACCCAAGAGTTCTGACCAGATATCTCAATACGGTCTGTCATGGAAGATTTGACATGGTCTATGTACACAAATGGAGGCGACACAACAACATCTACACATCATTAAACACACAAATGGGTCACTTAGTTTGACTTCCATTGTCTAAATGAAATAAACAGAGGGGGAGTAGAGCAGAAAGTCTCACCTACATCGGCTTCCAAGGATGCACTGTTGAGGTCGGAGATAAGCTTTGAGATGGATTCCTTAGTCCCGTTCTAAAATACAAACACATTCCACAAGTTGCATGAGTTAAAAATAAAAATAAAAAATATATGAAGGGTGATTCTGAATCCTTTGGACTAATGCACTTACACACTTCCAGTTTCCTCCAACGAAAAACTGCAACATAAGAGAAAGAGAGAGAGTATTGCTCAGCCATGATGTTAAACTCAAAAAAATAAAATGCAAGTAACAGTCAAAAATCCTAAATGCAGAACAGAACCTAGCATTGAACACGTTGTTATCATCTGCAGAAGTAGAGTAGCAAAACTAAAACGATCTTCTCCTAAGAAACCAAAGCTACCTACCAAGTTCTCTAAATCATTAGCATTTGCAAAACAGAGTAAAGGCTTCAAGTTTTTTGGAATATTCAGAGTTGAGCGCGCGCACCTTTCCGGATCCGGCCATGGCGACAACGCCTCTTGGCGACCGGTGCTGAGAGGAGGAAACGAGACGGATAGAGGGATTAACGCGGTTGCAGAAGGAGACGGCGGCGTCGAGCATGGGACAAGTGCGGCGGAGGCCGGAGAAAGAAGGGGCAGAGGGGTGAGTGGCACATGATATTTGGGCAGTGAGAGAAGAAGCCATAGAGAGACAGAAGAAGGTGGTCTCAGCTTTTGGCGTGTAGTAAGTAGAAAAAAGAAAAGGCGATAGAGACTGTGACTCTCTCTCAGTCTTTAAAAGGCAGAGATGGAAGACGATGAGGGTTGGTGTGGTGCTCCTGCGTTTCTGACTCAGAGCCTCAGAGGGTACTTTTGTCCTTTTGAGTTCACTAGTTCCGTATCAACCTCACACGCATCCAACGACGTCTGCCTCTCACGCGCTTTTTACACCAGACGCATTCACCGTTTCAAAATTTTATGGGAATTTGCAGTACATAGCTGTAGAAACAAAATTAATTAGGTAAATAGTTATGACACTGTACATTTTCATAAATCCAACCTTATTCCTATCACAGCTCTTAGTTAGGTGTAGATATAGATCTGACACGACTTCTTTATTTGTCTTTTATACTTCTGATCAGGCTCGATTTTGAAAATATTTGGGCCGGAAACATTTAAAAAAAATATGGATCTACTAATTAAATAAATAATATTATTAAAAATTAATTATGTTATTAATTATGGTCGAACTGTCGATCTCTCAAAGTATCAATAACAACATTAAACATTTTGAAAAAATTTACCAAAAGAAAATTAGATATTTTAAAATGGCCGGAAACACATGTTTCTATACTTTTACTCAACGCCGTTACTGTTTCTGATTTAATGATAAATTTATTTGAATCTAAGGTACTATTTACGTTTCCATACTTGAAAATCCACTTTTCGATACCAAATCTCCAACACAACAATCTCCTTTTTGTTATATCACCTCCCACGAGAATTCTGATTCGAAACACTAACTTACAATCACGGCCAGGATTTTATTTAGTTTGGATTTTAAGAAGTCTTTTCCTAAATAAAGAACTGTTTTTGGTTCATCATAGCTTTTGTGTTTCGTAAACCTCTGCTCTACCTTGCCGTCCTATTTAATCTTCTACCTCAACCTCCACTGCCATCATCATCGTGAGCTTCCGTCTTCACCGCTGTGCTACCAAAACCTCGTCTTCCTTACCAGCACACATGTATATATTTCAAATGAAACCTTACGTTAACTGGATATACATTTCCACAATTGACAAAGCTAAACATTTATGTTTATTCATATTTTCCTGATAGATAATATCAATTGAAGATAAATGCTAGAAATGATATCCGGTTATTTATATAATAATATATTTTAAAGTTAAAATATGATTACACAAAACAATAATAATAAGATATTTAACTATTTTTACATATTATATAAAACTGGTTATTGGATAAATTATCCAGATATCAATGTCATATATGATATTCCAAAAAATATTTGATTATCAACAATACATCTTTTATAACAGACCCAATAATTGTATATTGACCTAATTGAGCCAAATTTTATTACGACGGCCGGTTCGATGCATCATTTTCGTACGAAAATGTTAAACAATACTCCCACCGTTTCAAAAATCTGCATATTATTAAAAAAAATTGTTTCAAAAAAAAAATATATGTTTCGTATTTTCAATATATTTTTGTCAACTAATAATAAAAAATATAAATTTCAAAAACATTAATAACACTTTTTGACGTATTATTGGTTTAGAAAATAAAAAGTATAAATTACAAAAAAACTATTTATTAATAACTAAATTTATCATGTTTTATTAATAAATGTGAAAAAGTAAAACATCTACTATTTTGAAATGAAAATGATACTAATTAGTTTATTCTTTTTCTAGGACTACGCAAATAAATCGAATCCCAAAATTCAAATTGAATCTGATCTAACAAAAATGAATCTGTACCAATATATATCCAATACAGATATCTAATGAATTTTATTTTATGGTAGTTTGGATTATTAGTATTACCCGAATCAAACCTAAACTTAAACTTAAATGGATATCCAATAGAATCCGAAATATTTACAATCTCAAAAAGAACTTGTACAAAACATAATCTCATTTATTAATATGTATTTAAAATACTTTAAAATATTATTAAACATCTAAAATAAATATATTACATGAAGGTTAAGTGATTAAAGGTGGCGGTTGAAGTTTGAAATTTTAAAATTTTAGTTTTATTTTCATTCAATAATATCTCTCATTTCATGAGATTATGTTATTATTATTTGATTTTCTTTCAATGAAAAACTATGTTTATCTTTTGTTTGATTTTGAATTGTCATGCTTGATGTTCTTTTTTTTTTAGAATCAATTTTACTTATGTTTTAGTTACTCAATAGATATAAATTAGGTATTTTAAATTTAAATAGCCGATTTAACTTAAATTTTAGTTATAAATATAAATCAGTTACTTTTGGGTGAATCAGCTGAAAATACAAGAAGAATGTAATAATTAAGAAAATATCTAAATATTGTGGGGAAATAGTGATGATGGAGGGAAAAAATTGGGGGAAAATTATGTATGAAGTGCAAATATGTTAAATGTTGTAGATATGGAGTACAAATATTCTACTTTTAAACCGAATAATATAATAGGACATGAATCCGAAAATACAACAATTTATATTGGGTTTTCAAATATTTATTAACTCCGACCTGAATTTGATATAATCTGAAGCGGTCTCAAATCAATCTTTCATATAATTCGAATGAATTAATTTTGATAAACTGAAATCTGATTGGACAAAACTAAATTCCGATAGGGATACAAATGCTCATGCTCATACCTTTTTATCCTTTTTTTGCTGAACAATTATTTGATTCTTTAGTATGTAGAGGAACAACTGTGTATGAATTTCATGCACAAATCAAGGAACAAATCACTGGAGTATTATTTTATTACTTAACTACTTTTTACAAAATCGAAAAACTCTCGTGAGTTGGTGTAAATGCTTATTTACATTTTACAGCACCTGGTGACGTTAATCAGACGGTACCACGTGTAAACAAGAGAGAAGAAGAGATCGGATAACACAAGTCACGAGATCTTCGACCTCGTAGTAAGTTATGTCATCAGCAGCAACAAAGATAAACCAAACAAAAATAAAGTTCTGAAATTACTTTTGATATTACACTGAAATAAACGCGAAAACATTAAAAAGATAGAAAAAGAGCTACAAGCTAAAATCAACCAAACCACATCTCCAAGAAACTTGACTGATACTGAAGCAGAACAAGCAACAGAACGATAATGGCTGCCACTCCCCACGGCGAGCTTCCACCTTCACTCCCGGAGTTGGGACTCTGGTATGTTTGACGACGGTTTGAAAACATCCCTAGAAACGCGTCTGGGTTCTCCACGGTGGATAACCACTTGACCAAGATTATGAGAAGCAGAGGGATCAAAAGAAGAGCAAAATTCATCTGCTCACCCGCGGATTCTGCTGCATCTTCGAAGCTCATGTACCATGATGTCATTAGGAACACCGAAGCCACAGCTAGGATTAAAAGGACCGGGTACGGTAGAGGCGAGAGCGAGAATGAATCCAAGATGGACGGTCCTGATCTGCTGTCTCCATACGCCATGATTTATTTTGATGATAATGATGATGAGAGCTACTCTTCTCTTTCTATCTCTTGCTTTTATGTGCCGATGCAAACTTATAGAAACCACCCTTTAGGTTAAAAAACTATTATCTATTCTGTATGTGACCGACAGATGAAACTTTAACTAAATAGTAAGTATCAAAGTTATTATTTTTTCAAATTAGTAAGCTCGGTTTCTTTTGTCTAAAAATATATGTTTCCACTAGTTAAAGTTTGGGAAATTAATTATAAAAGAATAATATAATTCACTATCTAACTTGTTTTTTTTTTCTTATCTTTTTTATTATGCCTAATAACACCAAAAAAAAAAAAAATTTATTATCTAACTAAAATCTTCTTCTTTGTCCTTGTTCTTTTTTTCCTATCTCTTTTTTTTTTCTCTCTATAAAATCTTTTTTCTTTTATTTTTTATGGTTATTCTACTGAGATATTTCATTTATATGTTGGCTTTTCTCTTTCGTGATGGGCTCCTCCTACACACCTAAATATCCAATTGTTGGTGGAGCGTCATAATCTCATTTCCTTATTTTCTTTTGCTTTAACTGTTATCATTAATCACCTCTTCAATAAGCAACTCCCAAAATTCAAAGATGACAAAAATGACTTATAATCCCTTTAACCTAAGCTATACAAAAATTCAAAGATGACGAAGATTATTTGATCTTTCTAACCTTTACCCACCTAAGTTCTTACGGCTTATCTATATAATTACAACAAACTAGCATAATTACACTCATATAATTTCAACTTTTTTTTTGGAAGAAATATAATTTCAACTTCATTAATTAGTTATGAAGAGATCGATCGGATTGATTTGAAATGCTTTTGCTATTATATCATTTCATATAAAATATATACCTAAAATTATACGGTTCAGTTCCATTGCTTCTTTTTCTGGAAATAATATTGCTTGGTTTCGAAACTTATATATCCAAGATCACACAAATATAAGTTTATGTAAACAGCTAAAAATTATCAGATTGAATATTATAGCTGATCACGTTCGTCAAATTAACACACCAAAGTCGATGATCACGCCACATATATCCCTCACGTTAACATCGACAATACCTACAAAAACGAAATTATTGATTTACTTACATAAACGTAAACGCAACGAAACTAACCGCGGTCAAAACTAGCTAGTAGTAGCAAACGCATTTCCAGCGACCACAGGGACAGTAGTAAACGGATCGCTTCGACGTTTCAAGGCAAGAGAAACACCGCACGGCAAAGAGCAGAGCCAATGGAACCACAGCAAGGAGGAGCCAGCTTAGCATATCTTCGCCTGAGGAGAGGGAAACCTCAAATTTTACGGCGGAGGAAAGCGCCAGGAGGACGAGCGCCACCATGATCATGACTATTACCGGCAACGGCGACGTGGATACTCCACACCGTCCACAACAGCACCCGTGGTAGTGCATATCGCCCGATGATGTTTTTTTTTTCTTTTTCGATTTTAGTTTGTTTAATGTTAGTGATTTATGGAATGCTTTGGAAGATGAGAGAAAAACAATGAGGGAGAGAGATAATGGTTTGTTAGGTATAGTAATTGAAATTATTGTGGTCCATGATACACTGTTTTGGAAAACCATTAGTAGCACTAGAACCAGTGGGGTAAGGGATTCCATATGGTCATTTACATGTGTAAGTCGATGTGAATTATCTGGGCCATTTGTCTAATTGTTTGAGAGAATTATATATGATCAAGAATGTAAAACTATTCGTATTGATACTCATCTAAGCAATTCGTTTTTTTTTTCTTTCGGTTCGGTGTACATATAATCAAAGATACCGTCCCACAAAAACATGTAACTACATTCTAATAGTTTGATTAGGCTGATTAGTTTATAACTTGTAAAGATGAATTCCATATCCACATTTTATTGTTGATTAGGAAGCAAAGATTAGCCAGAGTTGGATCCTCACATATTATGGATTTGGATGTGAAATGTGAGTGATTGGTGGTTAAGACATGTAAAGAATAAGGAAGCTTATCTCAGTGGCCTACAACGAAAAAGAAACTCAATCCACGTTGCTCCACTCATCTCGTATACAATAGACTCTAAATGTCCTCATGCCTAATGTTTGTCTGTCGTTTCTAGGAATTCAGATCGATCGTATCTTTTATTTATATTTTTTATTTAATCCAATACGTTTAACTACGCAGAAAATTAAAATGTACTTAATTCTGACAAAAAGAGTTCAGAAAATTAGTTAACCCATCTCTTTAACTGTAGATGTCATTTTGACATTTTTTATACATGAATATTAAAAACTTTACATATATATATACGAGTTGATGGTTTTGATATTTTTGAGGAGATTTACTGGCACATAACTCACATAGAATATCTATTGTGGATTACTCCAAGTTTAGTATGTCCTCAATCAGATTAATAAATCAGAAGATTAGTTTATGTGCTTCTTGATCTTATCACAGAAGAATTTTTATGACATTGATACTGACTTTTACAAAACACTTCGCGCGGATTGTTTACTATTTTAACTATTTATATGAATAATTTGTTTTGAATATTTTCGTATTTCAAAATGCATTTGATGTATTTGATATTGGAGTAGAAGTGAAAGTATTATATTATTATGATGTGATCATGGACGGTTTAAGTAGAAAGGCGGAGAGTAAGATCTCCACAGGATTCTGGTTCCAAAATTTCAATTTTTTACTAAATAAACACGATTTTTCTGAACAAAAATAGGTATATGTTGATTTTTATCTAATTTTTTATTTTATTTTTAAATACTGTTTCAAAAAAAAAATTGTATAAAATCATTAACAATTATATTCTATATATCTATTTTAAAGAAGTTATTAAATAATATTTTTTTTTATAAAGACCAATTTTTTTGCCCCAGAGACCTCCATGATTCTTGAACCGGCAGGATGCGATTTCTTCATGTAAATTTTAGAATTTTTTTTATAGTGGACATGTGTTGGGTTTATAGTTGATCTATTGTGTTTACTAATGCATTGTATAAATGTGCATTTTTCGAAACATATATGCTTAAGAGGAGATGGGCAAATAGACAACATAGTGGATCGGCTTTTTATTTATTTATTTTGTGACCAACATAAACTCGGGAAATAATAGTTACCGGTGCAGTACATAAAAGTTGTGGAGCTTTGCGGTTGATACATATGTTCTGCTCTAAACATTTTGACTGACTCAATCTTTTGAACAAAAGAAAAACAAAACAAAATCTAGTAAAAGAAACTTTTTTGAAAGATCTAGTAAAAGAAACTAAGGTTATATATTCTCTTTCAAGGTTCTCATCCTCATCTCTAATATAAATTTGATTTCATTTGCTTTATAGTTAATGCTCACACCGTAATCGTTTAGTTTTTGTGTTATTTAGATATGAATATATTTTTTGTATTGTCGTATAATTTGATATTCAACTGATGTAGCCGTGTTGTGCAGATGTAGCTGTCTTTATCGGTTTGTATGTAATTAGCAATGATATCTTGCATATTTGCATTGTTTTACCCATTCATCCATGAGCATTTTCATCATATAGATTAGGATTTAGCTATGTCTAGGTTGCATTTTGCATTCATTGTCCTTATTAGGTGTTGGAATGTGCCATGGAGTGGTTTGAGATGTTTAGGAGCATTGTGATCCAGAAGGGGCTGAAAGATGAGCATGGATGGAGCCTTTAAAGAAGTCTTCTGTTGCTAAGATTTTGTGCAGACACAGCAAATTGAGTTAGCTTTCTAATGTAAGTGGTTTCAAGTCATTTGAAGATGTAATGAAGGAGTTATAACCAATTTACCAGAGGCATATCCATCTTGTTCGGGCATCCTGGAGCGGGGTCATGGCAGCGGGTCAGGGGGTCGGCCCAGACCACAGCGGACCCCAGGGGCGGAGTCAGGGGGGCCGCTCGGCTAAGACAACACCCCACAGAGGGGTTGTGGCAGCGGGGTTGTGACCCCGCTGTGCGTCTTTTATGTGACGAAAAACTTGTTTCGAGGACCTTTTTGCAATTTTCGTTCTTTATGTTTTGAGTTTCAGAAACCTAATTAAAACTACGTTGTAAGCCTCCAGAGGCAGATTATCTTTTAATCTTTGTTCTTGAAGAGAAACTATTGAAAAACCTTTGTTTTACTTTTCTATTTCATCATCTATATGATTAAGCTTGAATCTAACATGGGTTTAAGAGTAATCATGATGATTAGTGAGTAAATCACCTTTTGAATTCATTGGTTAGGGAGATTAAGGGTGATTAGGTTAGTTTTAGGTTGTTTTAGTGTAGATCATTCTTGTTCCTTGCTAGTAGAGTATTCATAATGCATCTTCTCAGTTAACCACTCAAAAGTTGATCAATAGGCATTTTCCACCCAAAAGGTGTTCGATGAAATGCCTGAGACAACTCTCCTAGGCTTTTAGTATACTTTCCCAAAGACATTTGTTGTTAAAGGTGCTAAGATAGCTAATAGACTTGTTAGTAATGATTGCTTTCATATTATTTAACCAAAGACATTTGATGTTTGAGATATGTGTGCAAATGAACATTCATCTAGACATAGAGCTTGTTTAGAATTGTGTTTAGGCTTAAGGTTGATAGTTTAATTGATCGCTTGCAATCCTTAGTTCGAAACTTGATCACCCAAGGTCTAATCCCTATACCCATGAGTTCTCCTTTCTCTTAATCAAAGAAGTTATTTTAATTATCGCTTTTCTTATTCTTAGTTATAGTTTAAAACAATCAATCATTCGATTGCACTTTGATTAAGCTAGTACTTGCATTCTCAGTGCTTTAAAATCCCTCAGAACTGGTTCGACAATCATCTATACTACAACATTTGTCTTAGGAGCCTCAAAAACTCCTAATATCAAATTGGCGCCGTTGCCAAATTCTGAGTAGATTTAAACATTGAGATTTAGTCACTTGCTTGAGACTAAGTCATTTTTTTTTATTTTGTTACTGACTCTTCATCTTCATCTGTCTTTGGATTTCAGGTGTATGAACTTGAGGAGCAAAGGCACAACAAACCTTGTTCCAAGAGTTCCAGATATCCGGGCGTTTGAAAGAGAGATAGTAAGACAGAGAAAACAATAAGAACAACAAGTTCAACAACAGAGGTTGGATACTGAAATGGCTAACCCACCGCGCCCAGCTCGCCCCATTGGTACCTATAACCGCCCAAACCTTCATGGCAATAGGTTGGGAATCCGAGCACCAGCTGTGGAAGCCAAAAACTTTGAGGTCAAACCAGGACTCCTCAACGTGATCGAAAACAACAAGTATCATGGCTTGCCTGTAGAAGACCCATTTGATCACTTGGAAAAGTTTGACAGCTATTGTGGGTTGTCAAAAATCAATGGTGTGTCTGAGGATGCCTTTCAAGCTCAAGCTATTCCCTTTCTCTTTGGGGGACAAGGCACGTCAGTGGGAGAAGACTCTACCCAGCGACTCTATCACCACCTGGGATGAGTGCAAGAGAGCATTCTTGGAGAAATTTTTCTCAAGTTCAAGAACTGCTAAGTTGAGGAACGAGATATCCAGCTTTCAACAGAAGAACTTGGAAGGATTCAGCGAAG